AGGAGGCTAGAAGTCCGAATTTAAGGTGCCAGATTCAGGAGAATACTTTCTATCTCTGTCAGCTCTGGGAGAAGGTCCTTGTCATCAATCCTCCTCTGGATCTAGGAGTTTCTCAGCACAGAGACCTCGGGTCCAAAGGTCACGCTCCACTCTCAGCTCTTCTTTTCTGGTGATAGGAGGTCCCTTTCTCTCTGCTCACTTCTCTGTTTCTCTCTTGTAAAATAAAAGGTGATACAGGCCACACCTCAGGGTAACTCCCCTTACAGTGGATCAGGGCTGTGATCTGATTAAGAGTATTAGATCCCACCCTGATCCTATTTAACATAATCTAATCTTGCCTCATCAACTACAGGCAAAGATTAGGATTTACAACATGTAGGATAATTACATCAGATCACAAAACGAAGGACAACCACACAATACTAGGAATCGTGGCCTAGCCAAACTGACACATACTTCTGAAGGACACAATTCAATCTGTGACACCAGCCCTACAAAAACAAATGCATGCTATTTCTGTACATGGAAGGCAAAAGAGAGATAAATTAATTCAAAGCTATACATAAAAATAGAAACTGTTGGGACAAGTGTAAGGGCTAACAATAAGGGGTTTACGCTTGAAAATTATAATTGTTTTGTCCTTAATTCTTTAACAAGATATATATAAAAAGCAAGGATAAAATTATGTTAAAGGCTACATGAAATATAAAGATATAATTAGGGTCAAATGGTATAACCACTACGGAAAACTATACAGCACCTCCTTAGAAATAGAAATACCACACGATCCAGCAGTCCTACTCCTAGGAAAATATCCTAGAGAAATAAGAGCTGTCACACAAATATACATACGCACACCCATGTTCACTGCAGCACTATTCACTATAGCAAAAAGATCGAAACAACCCAAGTACTCATCAACAGAAGAACGGATAAACAAATTATGGTACTAAGCAACGATACGAAGAACAGTGATGAATCCACAAAATATCTCACAACCTGGATGAATCTGGAGGCCATTATGCTGAATGAAATAAGTTAATCATAAAAGGACAAATACTGTGTGAGAACAATATTACAAAAACTCAAGAAAAGGTTAACACAGTTACACACACAAAAAGAAACAATCTTTGATAGTTATGAGGAAAGGGAGGGTGGGAAGGGGAAATCATTAACTAGATAGTAGATAAGTGTTAACATTGGTGAAGAGAGAAACAACACACAGTATAAGGGAAGTCAGCAAACTTGACCAAGGCAAAGTCATAGAAGCTTTCTAGACACATCCAAACACCCTTAGGCACTGAGTTACTGGCACTGAGGACTGGGGACCATGGACTCAGGGGACATCTGGTTTAATTGGCATAACATAGTTCATAAAGAAAATGTTCTTCATCCAACTTTGGTTGAATAATATCTGGGGTCTTAAAAGCTTGTGAGCAGCCATCTAAGATATATCTATTGGTCCCATCCTATCTGGAGCAAAGGAGAATGAAGAAAACCAAAGCCACAGGAAAATATTAGTCCAAAGGACTAATAGACCACACATACCACCACCTCCACAAGTCAAGCCCAGAAGACTTAGATAGTGCCTGGCTACCACCATCGACTGCTCTGACACGGTCCCAGAGCAGGAGAAAAATGCATAACAAAATGCAAATTTACAAACACAGATCAGACTTTACTAGTCTATTAGAGACCAGAGGAATACCAGAGACTGGCCCTGAGACACCCTGCTAACTCAGAACTGAAGCCATTCCCAAAGCCCACCTTTCATTCAAAGATTAGACAGACCTATAAAACAAACAATAACACATGTGAGGAACACGGTTCTTAGATCGATCAAGTATATGAGATCAAATGGGCAACACCTGCCCAAAAGCAAAGACAAGAAGGCAGAAAGGCACAGGAAAACTTCACGAATGGACACAGGGAACCTGGAGTGGAAAGGGGGAGAGTGCTGACACATCGCAGCACTCAATGTCACAAAAAAAATTTTATATTTTTGAATGAAAAACTAATTTTTGCTATAAACGTTTACCTATAGTACAATCTTTTTTTTTTAAAGACATAATTAGGGATAACAACAAAAGGGAGAAGAGGAATGGTATAGAATTCCTTGTATTTTACTTAAGTGAAGTTGGTACCAGCTTACTGACCTTTTGGCTAGCAGCCGATCTCTTAACTACTGCATCACTAGGGCTCCATGACTTAATCTAGGTTATTATAATTACAAGCTGTTAAATGTAATATCCATGGTAACCACTAAAAATATCTTAAAAACATACCCAAAAGTAAATGACAATGAACCACAATGGCTCACTACAATAAACCAAAAAACACGAAACTAAGTGGTAGTAAAGACAAAGACAAAGAAGACCTAAGACACACAAAAACAAATTAAAAAAATGGCAGAAATAAGTGACTTTTTATCAGAAATTACAGTGAATATAAATAGACTAAATACTCCACTTAAAAGGTAAATGATGGCAGAAGGGATTAAAAAACATGATCTAACTAAATGCTGTTTACAAGAGACAAACCTTAGACCGAGAACACAAATAGGTTAGAAGAGAAAGGATGTTAAAATATATTCCAAATAATAACCAAAAGAGAGCTGGCATGACAATCTAAATATCAGACAAAGTAGCCTTTAAGACAAAATCCGTTAGAAGACATAAAAAGGTCAATTAATCAAAAATATTTAACAGTCATAAATATACATACACGCAACATCAGAGTACCTAAATAAACAAAGCAAACACTGAATGAATTGAAGAAAGAAATAGTACTAAAATAATAGTTGGAGTCTTCAATACAGCACTTTCAATACTGGACAGAAATCTAGAAAAAAGATCAACTAGGAAAGAGAGGAACACAATGATATTATAAACCAACTAGACATAATATACATATACAGAACAGTCCACTCAACAACACCACAATATACACTGTATTCTAGCACAGATGAATTATTCTGAAGGACAGACCCACATATTAGATCATGAGGCAAGTCTTCATAAATTTAAAAAGATTAAAATTGCACAAAGTATCTTCTCTAACCACAACTAAGTGAAGCTAGAAATTAAAAAAAGAAAAAAAAAATACCGGAAAAGACAAACAAAAATATAGAAATTAAACAACACACTATTAAACTACCAATGAGTCAAGACAGAAGTCAATACAGAAAATAACATTTTCTTGGAGTAAAATGAAAATGAATGTATAACATACCAAAACTTATGGGATACAGTGAAGGTAGTACTCAAAGGGAAACTTACAGCAATAAATACTTATACAAAAAAAGAGGAAAGATCTCAAATCAACAGCTTAACTCGACAAACTGAGGAAGTAGAAAGAAAAGAGCAAACTAAGCCTAAACCTATCAGAAGAAACGAAATAACAAAGATCAGATCAAAAATAAAATCAAAACCAGAAAAGCAATTCCACTCCTAACTATATACTCAAAAGACTTGAAAGCAGAGACTCAAATAGATACTTACATGTTCCTTGCAGTACTATTCACAATAGCCAAATGGTAGAAACAATCTAAATGCCTATCAATGGATGAACAGAAAAACAAAATGCTACATACATACAATGGAATACTATTCAGTCAGTAAGAGAAATGAAGTTTGGATACATACTACAATATGGATGGAACTTGAAGACATTATGCTGAGTGAAATAAGTCAATCAAAAAACGACAAATATTATATGACCTCACCTACATAAAAAGGTAAGAACAGGCAAATGTATAGAGACCAAAGTTTCTTAGTGGTTACTAGGGGCGAGAGGGAGGGGGAGAGGAGGGAAGTTATTATTGCTAACAGAGTGCTGAGTTTTGGTTTACTGTTACAGAAAAATCACATTGATTAAAGGTAGGGTTGCATCGTCAATTAATGTAATTGCTGTCTATAAGTTGTGCGCCTGGAAAAAGTTAATTGGCAAAAGTAGTGTAGTAGATCTACTTACCATAATGACAAAAAAAGTAGCTACTGGTGCTACTTAGGTACAACCAAACACTCATGGGATTTGGTCCCTTGTTTTGGAGGTTTAGGGTCATGATTTCATGCAACATTCCAGTAAGTGGCCTAATAACACGTTTAGTGCTTCTGTTATACCTCCTGGAAACCCTGGTGGCATAGTGGTTAAGAGTTAGGCTGCAGTTTGAATCCACCAGGCGCTCCTTGGAAACCCTATGGAGCAGTTCTACTCTGCCCTATAGGGTCACTATGATTTGGAATCAACTCGATGGCAATGGGTTTGTTTTTTTGTTCATTTGTTTATACCTCCTAGTTTGTTGTATAGTGCCTGTAGTCTTCAAAGCTTGCAAGCTGACATCCAAGGCACAGCAATTTGTCTCTATTCACCTGAAGCAAAAGAGGAAAAAGAGTCAGGAATAGGAGAAGAAAATGGAATGTGTAGCTAATTGCTTCCATGTGCAACTACCTCCTTTGCCATGATACCGAAAGAATTGTATGTTGCCCGGCTACCTTTACTGAACATTTTGATCACAGATTCTATAGAAGAAGATTCTATAGAAGAATCTGTGATCAAAAGGGAGAAAATGCAGAACAAAATCTCAAATTTTTATGGAATCCAGTCTTTCTGGATCCATAGAGGCTAGATGAACTGCAAATCTATTCCCCTAAAATAATCTTTAAGCCTTAAACCAAAAATATTTCTTGAAGTCTTCTTAAAAGCATAGTTAAGCTTAACTATTAAAGAATGTTTGTCTTGAGCATTATGCTATTTTAAGATCTATCTATACGAGATCAAACTGACAACAGCAACTCGACAGAACAGGTACGAACCTTAGGAGGCAGTAAGTAAATGTTAATGGGAGGGAAAGACTCAGAAAAGGAGGGTGAAAATGTTTGAACTACTCAAAGAATATAATCAATGTTACTGAATTGTACATGAAGAAACTGGAATTGATGTATGTTTTTGCTGTGTATGCACTCAACAACAAGAAAGAAATAAAATAAATTATTTAAAAAAATAAAATAGAATGAAGAAATGAAGACACTAAAAATAAACAAAAAGAGAATCTGTCGCCAACAGATATAACCTACAAGAAACACCAAATGGAGTCTTTTGGAATTAAATAAAAGAACCCTAGACAGTAATTTGAATCCACATGAAGAAATAAAGAATACCAGAAAACTAATTTTTAGGCAAATCTCAAAGATAGTATAAATGCACTATTTGTTATAAATCCTTTCTTCTCGTATCAGATTAAAAAAAAACTGCATAAATTGTACAGTTGATTCTAGTTATTTTTAACAGTTACATTTTCTAAAGTTACTGCAAGCACTGAATTAGCTAATAATATATCAACACTTCTATGGGAAATACAGTCAGTTCCCTACGAACGAACATTGAAATTATGGCCAATAGAATTATAACTGATGCAGAGGAAAGCAGCCATTTTCCTAGCTTGAGTTTCACTCCTACTGTCTCCATGACTACCTGATTGTACTAAGTATTTAGCCCAGGGAAGTTAGATTCTCCTTGTGAGTTGTAAGCTGCTGTATCATCACATCAGAAAACGCAGGCTTACAAAGTTAATCTTTTAGTTAGAGGGGAAGGAATGTTTTTTCTGGTCACGCACACATGGTCACAGGATTGCTATGCTGTTTGAATTTGAACAAAGACAACTTTTTGGTCACAGGATGGTAAAAAGGTGGTCAGGTAAGGTTCAATTGAACAATGGCCCCTTCCTCTAAACCCCTCTATCTTTTCCATTGCATTCTGAGGTATAAAACCCCTAGACTCCTTTGTCCCTTCATCTTTCACCTACAGTGTATCTAGAGGCCATACATGTTTAGAGATTTCATAGGTCAACTCACCCTGGAGTGAGGGTCTGAAGGAGACTGACCCCATGATGAATCTTACCTAATCTTCATCCTAATCACTGTGTTAGTAAATAAAGCTTGTTAAAACACAACTGGGTAAATTGCAGTTACTTACTGAGAGCTAGAGACCAGCACAAACCCATTTTTCATCTTAGCTGACAGCAGCATGCATAAATGAACTTTATCTAACACATGTGTTTTCTCTTTGAGGTACATCACAGGTTTCTTACACTTAAAACCACCACTCAATACTACATTTTCAGGAAATTTTAAACAGTTAAAACTGTGGCACTAAATACAACATTAAAAGGACACTTTTTACAGTAAGAGCTTAAACTGTAAGGCAGAGCATCACCTTGTTCAGTCTTAGCTATGAACATGAGCACTGGTACCTCAAAATTTCTGTTCCTCTGCATATGGCTGTGAATGTCCAAGAAAGCACAAAGAGTATTGACTTTGGGATTAAAAATCAATTTTAACAAGTAGAAGATTCATAAATAAAGAATCTATGAATAACGAGCATCAATGCAATACTAAAATTGTTGAAGTACTTATATGTATAAACATGCCACTGGAAAGGCAATTAATAGAACAAAGGAGGGCAGAGGGAATGGAGTTATATTGGAGCAATGTTTTTGTATACTATTTAAATTAATTATAACCCCCAAGGCAAGTGCTATAGAAACAAATCAGAGATAGCCTTTCTATATTTGACCTATGCTGTTTACTTCTTCAAAGCTGGTTGGGGCCCATTATCTCAAAAACCTACTGGTGCTCAAAATTTTTTACATTTAATGATTTTAATGTAGCCCAAATAAGATTTTTACCCATTTAGAGCCTTCGTGCTTTATATACCCTACAAAACTATACACGACATCTGATAGCCATAGATGAGATAAACCCTGGGACTACAAAAGACTGCAAGTTGTTGATGTCCTATGGAGCTCTCTGACCTGGAGACACCCAACCTTGCTTTGAGTGGCATTACCTAAATATGTAATCCCCATCTCAGATTCCTCTCTTCCCTGGGAGTTCCCTGACCCTTTTCACTTCTAGGTACCCCTTGCCACTGTCTCTGGAAGGTTGCATCTGTGAGGGACATCCCCTCTCACCCATACCTGTACAAGAGTAAATCCAATAAAGAGCTTGTTTTGCAACACAGCCATCTTCTGGCCCTGTATCTTCTTGGTCAGCCCAGAAAAACCCTTGAACTTACTAAAGCACAACCACTAAAAGAAACGACCTAAAAAAAAAAGAAAAACTAAATGAGAAGACATAAAATTAAAACTGAACACTACACAATTCCAATAAACCAAATCCCATGAGGTATTTTGTCGTTCATAACAAGCCTCAGCAGCTGTTCTGTTTGTCTAGAGCAACAGAGGAATAAGTCAGGAATAGGAGGAAGAAATGGAATGCATGGTTGATTGACTCCACAAACAACTGCCTACTTTGACATGAGACAAGAAATGGAGGATGCCTGGTTAGTGTTACTGGGCGTTTTGATCAAAGACTCTAAAACAGTCCTGACAAAAGGTGGGAAACATAGACCAAAATTTCAATTCTTGTGAAACCCAGATTACTGGAATCACTGAGGATAGACGAACACCTAAAACTATAGCCCTGAAATAATCTTTAACACTGAAACATGAAACCAAAATATACCTGAATCCTTCTTTAAACCAAATGACAGCCTAGCTTAACTAGTAAAGAAAGCACTGTGTTCTTTTAAAGAAACCAAAGACAAGAAAAACTAAGTAAAACAGAGACAAATGTCAATCCTGGAACAGTAATCTTCAAATGAAGGGATAAAGAACTCAACTGAGCACTGAATGGAATAAGAAACTGAGAGAACAGAGAACGAGGAGAGATAAGGAGTGGAGGTACCTTATCAACTAATGCGGCACAGATTCGCCATCTAGTACTATTCATCCACCGAGAACAGCGGACAGGGAGTACAGGAAGGCAGCTTCACAGAACTACCAGCAGAAAACAGAGCACCCTGTAACAAGCAATACATACTTCCCCATCCCCCACCCTTTTATCCCTGTGAGAACTCCTCAGCTTACCTGCAGATCTCAGTTGTTCCTCCAGGGAAATACCAGTTCCTTGCTGCTTGGGTTCGCCCCGCACACACTGGCTGGCTCCTTCAGTGCCTTTTTTGTTGCTGTTGTTGCTTTTTTCTACTTCTTTTGGTTTCTTTCTTTCATCTGCTTCCTTCTCTTCCTCTAGAACACCTGGATCCGTGTGCCATCTCAGCTCCTTCTTGACAGACTATGAAGCGCTGCTTGGCTGGCGAAAAATTTCCCCAGTCTGCCCTGCCACGCCAGTGGGGACAATTTTTTTTTCTTTTTATTTTTTCCTTTTTGTTTTTCTTCGTTTCTCAGTTTCTCATCTCTCTCTACCTGCCTTCTTTACCTGTCTCCTGAATACCTGGCAACATGTGCCATCTCCGCTTCTTCTAGACGGGCTGTGTAGCACTGCTCAGTTTGGGAGGCACTTCCTGGTCTGCATTGCCAAGCCAGTGGGCTCCATCGGGGATTTTTATTTATTTATTTATTCTTTTCTCAGTCTCTCTCTACCATCCTTCCCTTCTTTTCTCCTGAACACCTGGTGCTGTTTACCATCTCTGCTCCTTCTAGATGAGCTGTGCAGTGCTACGTGGCTGGGGAGCCACTTCCCTGGTCCATGCCATCAAGTCAGTGGGCTCCTGCAAGGCAATTTTTTTTCCTTTTTCTCTTCTTTTTTCAGTTTCTCTCTCTCTACCTTCCTTCTTTACCTTTCTCCTGAACACCTGGCACTCTGTGCCATCTCTGCTCCTTCTTGAACTGGCTGTGCAGAGCTGCTCAGCTGGGGACCCGCTTCCAGTGGGCTCCCTTAGGATATTTTTTTTCCTCTCATATTCTTATTTCTCTCTACATTCCTTCCATTCCTTTCCCGACTACCTAGCCGCATATGCCTTTCTATCTTTTTTTTTTAATCTAGCTATTATCCCTTTCTCCCTTCCTTCCTTTCCTTTCTCCCACCCACCTAGTTGCGTGTGCTGTATCTGTCCCATCTTGATGGGCTGTGCCTCGCCACCCGGTTAGAAAGCCACTGGCACACAGCTTCCCCAGGTCTGTAACGGTAGGCTCCCTCAGAACTTTTTTTGACTCCTATTTGTCTCCTCTCTTTCTTTTCTTTCTAACACCCACTTAGCTCCACACATCAGAAAGTTCCCCCTCCCTCTTATCTGGCACCATGTCCTGAGCACCATACCCCTGAGTAGCACTGGCACGGTCTACCACAACCTGCCCAACACTGGCTCCCAGGCTTGCCCTGACAGTCCCAGTACATGCCACAAATGACCCACCTCAGCCCCTCCCCCTCTGCTGGACCTGCCCTGTTGCACCATAGCTGAGTGACTGGCCCTGCTGATTGGACTAGGTGGTGAGAAGTATCGTGCCCACAGATGAGCAAACAGGCAACAATGCCCAGCCCACATGCTCAGGCATAATCGAATTGAAAAAAACAAGCAAAACAAATCTACAATGAATAAATGAAGCAAATAATTCCTAAATATCCCAAGAACAGCACACAATATCAAAATGTATTTAAAAAAAAAAAGGACAGGATGCTTTCAGTACGCATACAAAATAAAACACGAGCTGACCTACCAGTAGGAGAAAGGGCACTGGAACTACCAGATACAGAATTCAAATCTCTAATATTCAGAGCTATCCAACAGATGAAGGAAAAAGGATAAAAAATGAGACAAAAATAGACAAAATCCTGGAAAAGACAGACAAAACAATAGAAGAATTCAGGAAAAAATACAGCAACAAAACGTTAAACTACATTCACAACTCGAAATCATACAAAAACAGCAATTAGAAAATAAAAAGGTAAACAAGGTTTCAGAAACTGACAGCATCACAGAAGATTTGCTGATTAGGTTTGAAAAAATGGAAGACAGGATCAGCAAAATTGAAGGAAAATACTTGGATACAACTTTTTTGACAAAAAATTAGAGAAAAGAATGAAAAATTAAGAAACACTGAGAATGATGTGGATTGCAATCAAAACGAAAAACTTGGGAGTGATCCGAGTTCCAGAACAGGGGAAGAAAATGGAAAACACAGAGAGTATCACTGAAGAACTGCTGATAGAACACTTCCCTAGTATCATGAAAGATGAAAAGCTGACCATCCAAGAAGCTCAATGAACCCTATATAGGATAGACCCCAAAATAAAATAACCAAGGCATATCATGATCACACTCACTAAAACTGTGGACAAAAAAAACCTGACAGTATCTCAAGAAAATCGAAAAGTCACATACAGAGGGGAAACAATAAGACTAAGCTCTGATTACTTGGCAGAAACCTTGCAGGCAAGAAAGTAGTGGAACGACATACATAAAATCTTGAAAGAGAAAAACTGCCAACTAAGAATAATATATCCTGCAAAACTCTCGTTCAAATATGATGGCGAAATTAGGGCATTTCCAGATAAAAAGAAATGAAGGGAATATGTAAAAACCAAATACAACTTCCAAGAATTATTAAAGGGAGTCCTTCAGTTAGAAAACAAACAACATCAAATGGCAGACTGAATCTAAGATGCAAGACCACATCAGCCAGATACTAACCTAGGTAATGAACTCTCAATGATTAAAAAAAAAACAACAAACTAAAATATTTACAACATGGAGCGAGAGATGTTAATCTGTAAATGACAACAAAGCCAGAACAATAAAAGAAGGAATAAATGGTGTAGGTATAGAACTTACAAATGGAGAGGGAGGGAAAGAAATACCAAGTAATAAAAGACTGATTCAAACTTAGGAATGTAACTGTAAATTTCAAGTTAACCACAAAGAAACTTAACAAATCTACTCATCAAAATAAAGAAAAACAAAAGTCTCAGTAAACACAAAAACTACAACAACAAAAGAAATGAAAAAAAATCCACAAACAAAAGGAATTCAGCACCGGAGAGTAAGAGGAACAAAGAAAATGTCAGATCCACACAAAAAAAAGCACTACAAAATAACAGAAATAAACTCACACCAATCAATAATTACACTGAATGTAAATGGCCTAAATGACTGATAGAGAGTGACAGAAGGGATTAAAAAAACAGGATCCATCAATATGCTATCTACAATAAATGCACCTTAAAAACAAAGACATTAATTTATTAAAAAATCAAAGGAAGGAAAGAAACATATCAACCAAACAGCTACCAAAAAGACCAGGAGTGGCAATATTAATCTCAGATAACATAGACTTTAAAACAAAATCCACCACAGAAGATAAAGAAGGCCATTATATACTGATTAAAGGGACAATCCATCAAGAAGACATAACCATAATAAATATCTATGCACCCAATGACAGGACTCCAAAATACATAAAACAAACTCTGACAGCACTGAAAAGAGAAAATCACAGTTCCACAATAATAATACAAGACTTCAACACACCATTCTCAGTAAAGAATAGAATATTTAGAAAGAAACTCAAAAAAGACACAGAAGATCTAAAGGACACAATCAGTCAACTTGACCTCACAGACATACACAGAACAATCCACCCAACAGCTGTGAAGTACACATTCTTTTCCAACGCACACAGAATATTCTCCAAAATAGACCACATCTTAGGCCACAAAGAAACCCTCAAAAGAATCCAAAATATTGCGATAATACAAAGCATCTTCTCTGATCACAACACCAACAAAGTAGAAATTAGCAACAGGAAGAGCAAGGAAAAAAAAATCAAATACATGGAAACTGAGTACCACCTTGCTTAAAAACCACTGGGTAATAAAACAAATCAAAGATGGAATAAAAAAATTCCTAGAATCAAACAAGAATGAAAACACACCATACAAAAACTTTAGGGAAACAGCAAAGGCAGTGCTCAGAGGTCTATTTACAGCAACAGATGCACACATCAAAAAAGAAGAAAGGGACAAAATCAAAACATTAACTACATAACTCAAACAAATAGAGAACAGCAAAAGAAGCCCACAGCCACCAGACAAAAGGAAATAATAAAGATTAGGGCAGAAATAAATGAAATGGAGACTGGGAAAATAATAGAAAGAATCAACAAAACCAAAAGTTGGTTCTTTGAAATGGATCAACAAAACTGACAAACCACTAGACACAGTGACAAAAGAAAAACAGGAAAGGACACAAATAACTCAAATAAGAAATGAAATGGGGACGTTACAACAGACTCGACTGAAATAAAAAGGATCATAAAGGGTACTATGAAAAACTAGTACTCGAAACTAGAAACACATTACCTACCCAGACTAACACAAACTGATGTTGAAGATCTGAACAGACTCATACAAGAGAAGAGATTGAAAAGGTAATAAAATAAAAAATTTTAAAAAAAACTCCCAACAAAAAAAAGTCTTGGCCTGGATGACTTCACTGGAGAACTCTACCAAATATACAGTGATAAGCTTACACCAGTATCACTCAAACTATTTCAGAACATAGAAAAGGAAGGCATATTTTTGAATTCATTCTATGAAGCCAGCATAACTTTGATACCAAAACCAGAAAAAGACACCATAAAAAAGGATATTACACACCAATCTCTCTCCTGAATATAGATTATCAACAAAATTCTAGCCAAAAGAATTCAGCAGCTTATCAAAAAAATAATACACCACGACCAAGTGAGATTCATACCAGGTATGCAAGGATGACTGAACATTAGAAAATCCATCAATGTAATCCATCACATAAATAAAAGAACTACATGATCATCTCAATCGAAGCAAAAAAGGCACTCCACAAAGTCTAATACCAATTCCTGATAAAAACTCTCAATAAAATAGGTATATTAGGGAAACTCCTCAACATAGTAAATGGCATCTATGAAAAACTAAGAGTCAACATTATTCTTAATGGAAAGAGGCTAAAAATGTTCTTCTTGAGAACAGGAACAAGACAAGGATGTTCTTTCTCACCACTCCTATTTAACATTGTGCTGGAAGTCTTGGCTAGAGCAATAAGGCAAGAAAAAGAAATAAAGGGCATCCAAATAGTCAAGGAAGAAGTAAAACTGTCTGTATTTGTGGATGATATGATACTATACATAGAAAACCCAAGACTCCACAAGAAAACTATTAGCACTAATACAAAGATTCAACAGAGTAGCAGGATATAAGATAAACATACAAAAATCAGTTGGATTCCTATACACCAATAAATAGAATGAAAAAAAGAAATCAGGAAAATAATATCATCTATAATAGCCCTCCCCCCCCCCAAATAAAACACTTAGGAAAAAATCCAACCATGGATGTAAAAGACCTATACAAAGAAAACCACAAAACACTACTGTAAAAAACCAAAAGAGATCTCCATACATGGAAAAACATATCATGATCATGGATAGGTGGATTCAACATTGTGAAAATGTCAATTCTACCCAGAGCAATCTACAAATGCAGTGCAATCCTGATGCAAACTCCAATAACATTTTTTAAAGACATGGAAAAGTTAGTCATTGACTTTATATGGAAAGGGAAGAGGCCCCAGGTAAGTAAAGTACTACTGAGGAAGAATAAAGTAGGAGGACTGGCACTACATGAGCTCAGAACCTACTATTCAGCTATGGTAGTCAAAACAGCCTGGTGCTGGTATAAAAATCAACACATTGACCAATGGAACAGAATTGAGAATCCAATCGAAAATTCATC